AGGAGGGTGGAGGCAGAGATTTGGACGGCTGTAGCTGTCAGCCAGGGAATGCCGAGAATTGCAGGCAAGCAGCAGAAGCTGGAAGAGGCGAGGAAGGGTTCTTCCCTGGAGCCTTCAGAGGGAGCTGCTGACACCTTGATTTCAGACTTCTTAGGTCCAGATGGTGTGGGAATAAACTTCTCTTGTGTTAACCCCCTGCTATGTGCTGCTTTGTTAATGCAGCCCTACGAAGCCAATGCAAGCCCCATCTCCAGCAGCTCGAGGGAAGCCCGTCTACATCTCCCAGCACCCTGCTCCCCATGACTGGGTCTAGAGATGCACATTTAACCCACAGAGAGCCAGTGGGATTCTAGAACATATGTGCTGGGGCTTGGGGAAAAGGAAACCCTCTCCCCCTCTATGTGAACCTGGAAGGGCGTAGCCAGAGTTAGTGCTGAAAGAAGAGAGGTTTTGTGATAGAAAATAAACGGAGAACAGAGGCAAAAGGAAATAGCATCATCCTAGTCCTAGATCAAGCTGAGCCTTTCTGAAACCAGAACTAACTATGACGTTTTTAGTCCGGAATGAGTGGGTTCCCGGGTCACTTAAGCCTGCTCGGTTTCCGTTTCTGTCTAAAAGCTTTCTAAGTAATCCAGGGAGTCAAGCGTTGGATGGCTGTGTGGTCCAAACAGCCTTGATGATCTTCTTTTTCTTCACTCATGCCTTCTAACCCTGTACATTAATACACCTAGAAATAAATTCTGAATTCTTCTGGCATTCCCTGCATTCCACTCCTAAAGCGGGGACGTAATTGAGAAGGTGGCGTTACAAACACATATTCGGGGCTTTCCAGTTACTCCTAGTTGATCCTGAATCCTGGGAGCGATTGAGATGTGGGGAAAATATAATGGTCTCTCCTTTGCAGAAAAATCAGTTCAGGTGCCATGACATTTCCACCTGATGAGGCTTTGAAGGAAACCCCCTGCCCAACACGGGAGGCCACAGGTGCTTTCAACAAAGCCTGCCCTGTGACTGACCCCTTCTGAGAGGCAAGATTTGGCTCTTCCAGCTGGATCCTGGGGGTGGACAGTGGAGGGAGGAAGGGAGGACGAGGGGGAGAACTCAGGCCGGGGCTCCAGAGACAGGAGGACGCTCAGTTTGCAGCTGACCTGCCATCCTCTGTCCGAGCGCCTCTCTGGCCAGCAGGGGGCTCATCCAGGCTGCTTCAATGTTAAGGACTCCTTTTAAGGAAAAACCAAACTACACATATAAAGTTAAGTATGGACGTGAATATTTATGTAAAGTGGGAAAAGGAATCACTGCAAATTGGAAATGTTAGAAAGTTGGCAAATACCATGAACACCTGAAAATCAAAGTAAATAACAAATCGTCATCCCTACCAGCTGCCTGACCCACCTCTATTATGCCTGTTTTACTCCAGTGTGGCTGCAGATTCTCTTATAACAATTTCATAGGATTCTTTTCTACAGCGACAATAAAAAGGTAATTTAATATTTCCTTTAGGCATGTTCACTTTATTTTATTTATTTATTTATTTATTTTTGAGATGGAGTCTCACTCTGTCGCCCACGCTGGAGTGCAGTGGCATAATCTCAGCTCACTGCAACCTCCACCTCCCGGGTTCAAGTGATTCTCCTGCCTCAGCCTCCAGAGTAGCTGAGATTACAGGTGCGCACCATTATACCTGGCTAATTTTTGTATTTTTAGTAGAGATAGGGTTTCACCATGTTGGCCAGGCTGGTCGCGAACTCCTGGCCTCAAGTCATCCGCCCATCTCGGCCTCCCAAAGTGCTGGGATTACAGGCATAAGCCACCACATCCGGCCTAGGCATGTTCACTTTAAACTCATTTTTTAAAATTGATGTTTTAGAGAAATTTCCTTCGGGTCCACAACTCATCATTGTGTTGTTGTATCTCACTTCACCCTTGGGCTTCATGATGCTTCCTGCCTTGGGCAAGTGGGCAGGAAACTCCAGCCCTCTGACTGCCATTGGCAGTGGCTCCCTACAGATGCCTCCACCTTCTCTCGTCCAGCTTCTCTGGGTTCTCGACAGCCCGTTTCACCTCCCGCCTGGCCGGTCCTCAAAGGCAGGGCATGGGGAAAGTGGCTGTGAACACTTTGCTTAGAGTCCCAAGCAGGAAGTGGAGCCACATCTTTTTCTGATCCTTCTCTTTGGGGTCAAAGATAAGGCTGGTCAGGGGCAAAGGAACACTGATGCCAAATGAACTTGGTGGCAGTGCTGGCAGCCCTCCAGCTCTGATCAGTCCAGGACCAGGGTACAGAAGCTGACCCTTAATATGTGTCCTTGGGGTGGATGTGTGACTAAAACCTGGTCAAGCAGGGTCACCTTGATTGGCTCAGAGATGGCATTTGCCTTAATCTGGGGTAACGTAAGTCAGCCTCTGGGAGTCTCTTTCCTTTAGGACTGCTAAGCCAGGAGGATGTCAGCCTGAAGCTGCTGGGAGACATTTTTGTCATCTGTGGGAAGGGCCCACCTTACAAAAAAGATGCCACAGCAGAAAGCAGAGGCAGTGCATGGAAAGGGCCAGATTCCTGGTGACATTGCTTGAACCCCTAGATCTAGCCATGCCTGAAGCCCACAACTGGGCTTTATGTCAATAGAGGGACCTGGTCTCCAGTATGCACAGGTGAAATCCCTCAATTTCCTGCTTGTCTGATCCTGTACTTCATCTGTTCCTGCTTGGGAATAACCTAACCATTCTCTTTCTCCACCCTATTCATCCACCCTTTTGGGTCCCTTGACCTCTAATGTCTGCCCTTGCTGATGCTGACAAATAGATGATGAGGAAAGCGTGAAGTCTCCATAGGAATTTTGTGAGCCTGTGCCTTCCCCAAGTAGAAGACAGAACTGTGCTTTCCCAGCATCCCAGGGAGCTATAGTCATGTGACATCACTCTGCCAATCAGATGCCTCCACTCAAGTCTTTGATTCCAGAATTGGCAATGCAGAGGTGCAAGTACATGCAAAGCCACCCCTGGGGAAAGCATTCAGTTTCCAGAGGCAGCACTGATAGAGGAGTCTCTAGCAGTGGCCTTCGCCACTCAGCATTGGCAGGGAAGCACTGCTCTTTCTGGGCTTGGTGATGGTAGCCAAGGCGTCCCACTGTACAGTCTTGATCTTGCTATGGTGAGGCACAGTCCTGGCTATGTAGTTCTAAGCCCAGTTCTCTGCCCCTCCTAGAAATTCACTGAACTGTGTAATATCCTTTAATAACTTAATAACTTTTTTTTTTTTTTTTTTTTGCTTAGTGTGGATACTCTTGTTTGCCACTAAATCTTGGCTCCACCTAGTGGCTAATGCCTATAATCCAGCACTTTGGGAGACCGAGGTGGGCAGATCACTTGAGGTCAGGAGTTTGAGACCAGCCTGGCCAATATGGTGAAACCCCATCTCTACTAACACAAAAATTAGCTGGTGTGGTAGCGTGTGCCTGCAGTCCCAGCTATTTGGCAGGTTGAAGCATGAGAACTGCTTGAACCTGGGAGGCAAAGTTTGCAGTGAGCCAAGATTGCGCCACTGCACTCCAGCCTGGATGACAGAGCAAGACTCTGACCCCCCCTCCAAAAAAAACTGGAGCAATCTTAATCATATCCCTGAGCATGCTCAAATTGGATAACTCAAAGTTTAATAAAGGATCTATTTTCAAAGTTGAAGGCAGGATATAGGGAAATCACAAGGCACGGTGCAGTGCCCCAGGATGAGTAATTGAGAGAGTGTTACCACCATCAGACTTGCTGGGACAAAGCAGGTAGGAATTACGTGAACCTGGAGAGAAAGGTGAAAAGAGCTGTAAGCTAGGGACGGATCTGCGGGAGAAATATTCCTACTCATTCTTCTCCCTGCCTACTACCAAACGTCAGAACTCCTAACCCAACCAGAAGCTGAGCATGGAGCAGCCCACTGATGGAGCCCAAACAGGTCAACCTGCTGACGAAGAGGAGGTAGAGGTTGAATTTGTTGGGGCAAATAAATAGAAAATTCCTGGTTCAAATCCTCATTCCCAATCAAACTATTTTTGGAAAGGAGGATTGGATGGAGAAAAAGGATAGAAAGGAGAGGCGGAAGAATTTTAATTTGAATCCTAGTACACAGACACTCAACATAATTAGAAGGCAAAATAAGTATCATGGAGGAAATTAACAAGGGACTTGGAATGGTCCAATGGAAAGTGAGGTTGGTGATTCAGGAGACAGAGAAGCTCACCAAGGTGTAATGTGGGGTTGGTATCTCCCCAGCAGTCCAGGTAAGGGGATAGTCCTAAGGTAGAAGGATGGAGAATAGGGCAGAGATAATGGACACGTCTGTAATTTTGGTAGTGGCCCTCTGTTTTGGTCAGGCTGTTTGGCTGCAAGCAACAGACACATAAAATAGCAGTGGCTTAAATGAGCTAGAAGGTATTTCTTTTTCAACCAAAGACTAACGTGATGTCATTGAGGGGAGAATCAGGGAGAGATGTACAGTATCTCCCCTAGGTCTCACAGAGTTACTATATATAAATAGCCTCAAGGGCACAGATGATAGTAAAATGTAGTAAAATTAGGTAATGAATTTTGAGTATAATTATTTTTGTTATAATTTAATTATAAACTTAAGTCATTTAATTTTTAAAATAATGTCTGTTTACCAGCTTGCAAAAATCCTGAAAATGTAGCAATCAGCTTTCACAAGCCAGCAAAGCCAGCGCCAGCACACCACTGGATACAAGGGAGAAGCATCTAGAACAGAGAAGATAGGAGAACTCAAGGGGCCAGGGTCCTTGGAGGCTCAGCCAGCACCCACATGTGCAGGGATGGATGACAAATCATCCAGCATCTGTGTTAGCTCTTCATTCTCCCCAGCATCTGGGAGCTTCTTGACAATCCCTTCCTTAAGTGATCTCTGGTCTTAGCTACTTGCTCAGTCCCCCATCTGATTCACCCTGACCCTTTACAGGGTCCAAAGGAGGGATCTGGGTAATGGAGGATGAGTAAAAATATTCCCTGAAGGGAAATAGGGTCTAAATATACCCCTGGGACATAATTGTCCCCATTCTGCAGATGAGGAAACTTAGGGTTGAGGGAGTTATTATTTTGCCAAGTTCAAGGTCTGCTGAGCGGCAAAGGCAATATTGTCAAGCAGGTTTGTTGGCCTCCAAACCAGTCTCCTTTCCGCAAAGCCATGCTGCACCATCCTGGAGACCAGCTCCTAGACCAGCATTCAGAATTCCAGTTCACTGGAGTGGAAATAAATCTTAAGAACGACCTGGTCCAAAATTCCCATTGTACATGAGGGCGAACTGAGGCCCGTGGTCATTCATACAGCAATGACACCAGCTGACCAAGGACTAGAGCTGAGGCCTCCCATCAACCAGACAGAGTTGCTGGCAAAGGATAAATATTCTGGGTAAGAGAATTAGAGTAGCTGAATAAAACTCAGATAAAAGAGTCAAAAGGCCTGTAATCCCAGCACTTTGGGAGGCTGAGGCAGGTGAATCACTTGAGGCCAGGATTTTGAGACTAGCCTGGCCAACACGGCAAAACCCCATTTCTACTAAAAATACAAAAAGTTAGCCAGGCATGGTGGCATGCGCCTGTAGTCCTAGCTGCTTGGGAGGCTGAGGCACAAGAACTGCTTGAACCCAGGAGGCAGAGATTGCAGTGAGCCAAGATCCTGCCAGTGTACTCCAGCCTGGGCAACACAGTGAGACTCTGTCTCAAGAAAAAATGAAGAGTCAAAAAAGAGACTTCCCCCACCCCAAAATGTCCCAGCCAGTTGAAAAAAGAGATTAGAGAAGATGATAGCCTCATTTGGATTTAGAGGTGATATCAGGAGAGACTTCCCGCCAGGATTGGTACCCTTGAGATTCTTTGAGAAAGTCCATGGTGCAACAAAGACTCCATAAAATATTCTTATTATAAATACTGCAGATATGTGCAAGTCAATGGGGAAACTGAGGCACAAAGCTAGATCTTCAGAAACCCTCAGGGCCTGAGACTCAAAATGAAAAGTTGGGCATTCTCAGACTTTAATCCTTTTTGCCCCAGCAAAAAAAAAGACCTCCTTTGGGGTACGGGGCACTCCCAAATGACAAGGTGGAACTTGTGCTCTGGGGGCTAGGAAGCAGGACGCTGGAGATGGTCGCCAAAGCCATGGTTCCAGAATTTCCAGGAAGAAGGATTCCTCAGGAGGCCGCAGAGACCTCGATGCGGCTGTACTGGATGCCAGTGGAGTTCTGCCTGTGGCCAAAGCTCAGGGCAAACCTGTCAAACAGAATGTGTGGGATCAGGGCGTGGCAGGGCCTGGGGCCTTCCCTGCGGAGTGGGCCTTCCACTGGGGTTTCCACTCCCCAATCTCATCTTCACTCCTACCATGATCCTTCCTGCTTCTATTAGTACAGATGTCTACCTTCTCTCACCTGGACACCCCAGCAGCTCCTTCCTGGTCTCCCTGGATCTTCCCTGGCCTCCTATAGCCCCTTCTCACCATTACATCCATAGTGACCTTTCTTTTTTCTTCCTTTTTTTTTTTTTTTTGAGATGGAGCCTTGCCCCATTGCCCATGCTGAAGTACAGTGGTGCGATCTCCGCTCACTGCAACGCCTCTCAGGTTCAGGCAATTCTCCTGTCTCAGCCTCCCAAGTACCTGGGACTACAGGTGCATACCAATGTGCCTGGCTAATTTTTTTGTATATTTTAGTAGAGATGGGATTTCACCATGTTGGCCAGGCTGGTCTCGAACTCCTGACCTTGTGATCCACCTGTCTTGGCCTCCCATAGTTCTGGGATTACAGGTGTGAGCCACCGTGCCTGCCCCATAGTGACCTTTCTAAACACAAAAATCTGTCCCTCCTCACTGATATGATTTGGATCTGTGTCCCCACCAAAATCTCATGTTCAGTTGTAATTCCCAGTGTTGGAGGTAGGGACTGACGGGAGGTGATTGGATCATGGCAGCAGTTTCTCAAGAACGGTTTACCACCGTCCTTTTTAGTTCTGTCCTCGAGATGGTGAGTGAGTTCTCGTGAAATCTGGTCATTTGAAAGTGTGTAGCACCACTCCCTGCTCCCGCCATGTAAGATGCGTTGGCTGACGTTCACCTTCTGCCATGAATGTTCGTGTTGTGAGGCTTCCCCAGAAACTGAGCAGACACCAGCATCATTCTTCCTGTACAGAGTACAGAACTGTGAGCCAATTAAACTTCGTTTCTTTATAAATTACCCAGTATTTCTTCATAGCAATGCGAGAATGGTCTGATACACCTGCTCAGAAGGAGACTGTCATCATGCTCAGCCTAACATCCCATCTCCTCCCCAGGGCTGGCCTCCCCGACACCAACCCTTCCAGTCCCTTGGCTTATCACACCCTGGACACATGGGCCTCCTATGTCTCTCCCTTCAAAATCCCTAACTTGTTTCCACCTCAGGGCCTTTGCTCTTGCTGTTCCCTCCACCTAAAACATTTCTTTTTTCTTTTTTTGAGACAGAGTCTTGCTCTGTTGCCAGGCTGGAGTGCAATGATGCAACCTCGGCTCACTGCAACCCCCGCCTCCTAGGTTCAAGTGATTCTCCTGCCTCAGCCTCTGGAGTAGCTGGGATTACAGGTGTGTACCACCATGCCCAGCTAATTTTTGTATTTTTTGTAGAGATGGGGTTTCACCATGTTGATCGGAATGGCCTTGATCTCCTGACCTCATGATCTGCCCACCTCAGCCTCCCAAAGTACTGGGATTACGGGATGAGCCATCATGTCTGGCCACCTAGAACATTTCTTCCAGCTCTTGAAACTGTTTCTTCTGCTTGAACATTTCTTCCTGCTCTTGAAACCATTGGTTTTTTCTCATAATTCCAGTCTCAGCTCAGAGCAGGTTTCCGTCAGTATCATTCATTCAGCCAGAGGTATGATTAAAGACGGCAGTGCCAGGCACTGTTCTAAGCCCTGGGACAGGGTAGTGAGTGGAACCAATACACAAAAGTATCATTGTGCTTGTTGAAAATTCCCGATACACTCGTAACACAAATGCACCCATAGCTATTTGCACCTTAGCTAACGAAACCGTATCCATCTCCCAAATCTGCCATTCACTCCCTGGTAGGTTAACCTGTCTTATTTTCTTCATGATATAAAAAATTCTGAATTATCTTATTTGTACATTTTGAGTTTTGTAGTCTATCTCTCTCCTGTACATTAAAATGTAACTTCCTTCTAAGTCCAGAGATAAAGTCTCTCTTGTTCCTGAGTCTGTCCCCAGAGCCTACGACAGTGCCTGGCATTTGAAAATATTTGCTGGAAGTTGAATGAATTGATTCCTGAGAAATTGGGATGAAACAGAAATTTCTGAAGGTGTATTTTTGTTATTATATCCCCCAAGGGATTGGTAAAGGTCTCTTTTGAACAGAACTAACCTGATAAGAAAGCAAAATAAACAACATTTCGGCAACTGATTGCCACTGATTGATTGTAAGGCGATCTGAGCCCCTTGTGTTACTAATGCTCCTACAGCAGGTAGAAGAGCTGGGTCTGTAAGTTGTAGGTCTCCTTTTCCAACAAGCGCACCTGAGGCAGAGGGAGGCAGCAGTCTGCCCACAGTAGTGGGTGTCTGCTCTACCGCATGTGCCTCCAATTTGGGGGAACTAGTCGACTCTGTGGCATGTGGCTTGACTGGACTGTCAGTCAAGGAGCTCTGCCCTATCCTGGCTAAGTCAGGGGTTAGGAGGTGGGCACATAAATCGGGCTTGGCCAATCAGACTTTCCCCTGAGACCATGACTCTTGCATGGAGGACACAGGAGTGAAAATAGTTGATGCCGAATGTTCCTGCTGTCAGACTCCCTGGACATGCCCTGGTCCCTGTGTTCCCAAAGTCAAGTTTCTCTCTGTGTGGCCTCTGATATCAAGAGCCCCCTGAACTCTAGGGACAGAGATGATAAAACACAGACCTGCCTCCAGACTCCACCAAAACCCCTAACTTCCTGTCTTTTCCAGAGTCATAGCAGACCCAGTCTCCAGTCCCCAAGGGCTGGCCCCAGCTCCCTCATGTGACCCCAGACCCAGCTGACACCCCCAGCTGCAATCACATCCTCCCTTATCCCAAAGCTGGCTCTCACGTGCCTTTCTGCCTCCTTTGCTTTTTGTACCAGAAGATGGATTTGGAATCTTCTCCCAAGAAAACCAGTATGGCAGAGATTCCAGACAGCTGTCTAGTAACAGAACCCTTGATTTTTAGCTGGGCACATGGCTGTCCAGGTTGAAGACCACATTTCTTAGCCTCCCCTGCACATAGGTGTAGCCATGTCATATACAAAAGCACGTTGGTAGAAGTGACCGTGAGGACTATGCCCACCCCTTCCCCTCCCCCATTCTCTGGCAGGTATGTGGGGGTGTACCTCTTTGTGCCATGCAGGAAAGGTGAGATGGAAGATTGGCAGAGCAACAAGATGGAAGGAGCCTGGGACCCTGCATGACCTTATGGCACACCGCTGCCACCCAACCCTGGACACCAACAGACATTTGGACAACTTCAAGCAGCCAAATCGATTTCGCAACTAATGCAGCTAGGATGCTGAGGGGCCTGCCAAAACTGCAGAAGGTGTCACTCAACGAAGTAGGAGAGAGCATTCTGGGGTGGGGAGGACCAGGCTACAGGCTCCCACACCAGGAGCCAGATAGGGATGGGGCTTAGCAGCTGGTTCAGGGTTAGCTAGTCAATGTTAGAATGATTTTTTAAAAACTTTTTATGACTTCCCGGAATCAGAATGGGCAGTCAGGAGCTGGTGACTGTGACCTGCTTACAAGAGGTAACTGGGAACATTTGCCAAGGATGCTTAGGATTGTAGCATGTTGAAGTCCCTTCCGAAGCTCCCGTTCCACTCTTATTTGAAAGCCTAAGGTCTCATGATGCTAAGATTCTGAACTTCCCTCAGTGACCTTAAGACCTGATGTGATCTAGCGCCTTCCCGTCTGGCCCATCTGACCCTCCACACACTTCCCTCCCTCCTTCCCTCTGTTCCAGGCACGCTGGCTTCCCTGCTGTTCCTTGTACATGCCAGATACACCCCCACCTCAAGGCCTTCGCACTCACTGTTCCTTCTGTCTTCATCGTTACATGGCGGCCTCCCTCTCACTAACTTAAATTCCACTCCTCGGAGAGGACTTTCCTCCCTGACCGCCCTCTCCACTTCAGCCACAACCCCTTTCTTCTTTGCTCCCCTGTGTCCACCTGGCCCTCTCAACATATTTTGCTCTGTTTTATTTTCTCCTAATTACCCGTCACCAATGAAAATGCTCTTGTTTATGCATTTGTTGGCTTCTCTGCCCCATCAAATGGAAGCTCCTTGAGGATAAGAACTTTGTCTTCCTTAATCTCAGCATGTTTTCTAAGGCTCTAAACACAGTCTGGCACATTGTAAGGACTTAATAAATAGCCATGGAATGAATGCGTGAACCCACAAGTGTTTTGCATGCAGTGTTTGAAGGCCATGTTATAATGTTTTGCTTCTCCAAAGTCCCGTGACTAAGCTAGTTTATGGTTTTAAGATTCTACTCTTCTAGCCCCTTGTGATGCCTTAATCCATTGATTTTTAAATCCCTGTGAACTGTGTCTTAAAGTCAAATGAAAAGGCACTGTAGGGAAACACAAGACAGCCCAAGGAAAACAACTTGTGTATGGCCGGACAAAACTCACAGTGCCCAGGCAATAGGGAAGACAGGACAGATGCTCGCTTGCAAAGAGAAAATACAAAGCCCAAAATCCTGGAGCTGCGTGCTTGGGGTGTGACACAGTTCTTCCCCGAGACGCCCCCGTCAGCTCCCTACCGTCTCTTTTGGAACTGCTGGTCTATCTCTGCCAACGACTGGCCCTTTGTTTCAGGAACAAATACATAGATGAAGCCCAGGCCGAGGACAGCGGTCAGTCCGTAGAGCAGAAAGGTCCAGGACAAGCCGATGGTGCCTGGAAACAGAAGGGCAGGAGTGTTGGCCCAGGACCGAGCACTCTGGCCCCGCAGCCTAGACCAACCGGTGGACTCCAGGTCAGGCATGGAAAGTCAGTTCACTCAAAGCAAATGTTCCCAATGGTCAATTTGCAGAGTGATCAATAAGCTGTCAGGGAAGTACCTTAAAGCAGAAATCTCACTCATTGTCCCAGAGGCGGGGATGAGCCAGGATGCAAGTCCACAAGCAAAGCACAGAGACGATGGTAACTTGTGTTTACGGGAATGAGCCCTCACCCACATCTAGGGCACTATTCGGTAGACTGCACCTGGGCTCCGAAAGCCTGACCTGAGGGAATGTGGATCCAGCTGAGTGGCCAAACAGCTGCACGGATATGACCTTGGCAAAGCTCAGTTAAAACAAACAAAAAAAATCCTTAGAAATTCCATGAATTGGGCATGGCGCAGTGACTCACACCTGTAACCTCAGCACTTTGGGAGGTTGAGGTGGGAGGATCACTTGAGCTCAGGAGCTCGAGACCAGCCTGGGGAATATGGCCAAATCCTGTCTCTACTAAAAATAAAGAATAAAAAAATTAGCTGGGCAGGGAGGCATATGTCTGTAGCCCCAGCGACTTGGGAGGCTGAGGTGGGAGGATCATTTCAGCCCAGAGGTCAAGGCTATAGTGAGCTGAGATCATGCCACTGCACTCAAGGTGACAGAGACCCTGAAAAAAAAAAAAAAGAGAACACCAGAAATTCCGTGAATTGGTCATTCAGTGAATTCATCACTCAGAAAAGTGAGTTTCAGCCAGTTTGGCTTGTGACTGGTTTGGGACAGAGAACAAAAGCCGCAGTTCAGTCCTGGAGTCGGCAGGGGGTTGGTAGGGGTTTGGGGCAGCGGGTGGCTCAACATCCTAACCCCTGCCTCCTCCTGGAGCCTCCGGTGGGTCTCAGAGCCAGCAGCCAGGATGGGGATCATCCTGAGTCCTCTGATGTCATCCAGCCCAAGTCAGAGCAGAGGCTATGGTGGAAGGATCTTGGTCAAGGTGGAAGATAAATTCTGTTTTGGAAGCCATCCTCACCTCTGACAGCCATGTCCATACCTCCTTTAGGCAGCCTCCCATGACCAGCTGGACCGATCGCCAGCAGTGAGAGCAACAGGCCAGAAGTCAGGGAGGCTGGTTCTAGTCTTTTGATTCCCTGGCTGGATGGGGAAGGATGTATTTTCCCATCTGTGAAATAGGGATGATACATGACACAATTCTAATAAATTCCTTCCTTCCTTCCTGTCTCCCTCCCTCCCTTCCTTCCTCCCTTCCTTGTTTCTCTCCTTTCTTCTCCTCTCTCACTCATTTACTCCACGAAAAGGAAAATGCTTGAAGACTGAGGCTGCAGGGAGAAGCTTGGATTCCCTAAGACAGTTATAATGTGGGGGAGGAGTTCTTCCACTGGTGTTTCCCACAGCATTGCCCCCCGCCTCCCAAGTTGGCTGCACCTTTGAGAAGGAAACTAATGGCCATAGGGAACAGGAAAATAACTGAACCCTAAACACTGTGCCTTGGGGTCCACAGTGAAGGAGCCTGTGTACTGTGGCCCAGGTGAGCAATACCCACTGAAGACCAGGGCCTGGAGCCATGAGCATCTCAGCATCTCAGAGCCATCCCCTGGTGTTCTTGGGCCCACATAATTTCCACCCCATCCCTCAGACTGGGTTTCAATGCTAGGGAGAAAGAGATGATATCACATAAACTTGATCTGAGAAAAACTTCCAGACCAGACATAGTGGCTCATGCCTGTCATCCCAGCACTTTGGGAGATGGAGGCAGGTGGATCCTTTGAGGTCAGGAGTTCAAGACCAGCATGGCCAACCTGTGAAACCCTGTCTTTAGGAGAAATACAAAAATAAGCCGGGCATGGTGGCGCACCTGTAGTCCTGGCTATTCAGGAGACTGAGGCAGGAGAATCTTTTGAACCCAGAAGATGGAGGCTGCGGTGAGCTGAGATTGCGCCACTGTCCTCCAGCCTGGGCGACAGAGCAAGACTCCATCTCAAAAGAAATTAAAAATTAAAAAGAGAAAAACTTCCAGCTGGCAGGTGGCATGAACCAGTTTAAACCAACTGGGAGCAAATAGACATTTCTGCTCTTAAACCTGCCAGTCGACCTCAGACAACCTCTCGCCAGTACCAAGTGTAGACTATCACCCATTAGCTGGCCGGGGGAGATTAACAGCGCGTTTGAGGGTCCTGGATGTCACCTTGGACACTTGGTAATGTTTCTGCACAGAATAATAGTTCTGCAGCTAACACATAGGAAAGTCCAAAAATGTCTGCTTTCAATTAGGGAGCTTGGGCTACAGAAAAAAATGGACTTGTCTGGGAAGCACTCACCAATGAGATCGAGGAAGGACAGGCTGATCAAGAGGTTGGCCGCCCAGTTGAAGCTGTTACAGAAGGCAAAGGCTCTTCCTCGTATCTCCACAGGGTAGATCTCGCTGAGGACAAGCCAGGTCACTGGGGTGGGAGAGCAGGAGGGCTCCTGGGCTTTGGTGGTTTGACCATCAGGTCAAACACACAGCTTTGCAACAATGGGATTTTGCAGTGTTGGGCTCTTGACCAAACTCCCCCCATACCGCTGTAAGAATCTCGGTAGGGTCTCGGTTTGCTGAAGACTAAGAGGTTTTCTGGGACACGAGACTTTCAATACTGAGATGGGAACAGTCTTGGATGAACTGGGATGATTGGTTTTCACCCTATTCATTAATTTCCTTCCAGTTGTGAGCTCTCCAGGGAAAGATCCAGGCTTTAAGGGACTTGAAGCTTAAATGACTTGGGGAACCTCTTAAGGAACACAATTTACAAACATAAAATTAGGCACTGGCCCTGGGAGGAGCAACTGCAAGTAAGTGAAGGCCCTGAGACTTCATGGTCAACCCACCTCTCATGCCCCTCTAACGCTCTGCCGGATAGTCAGGGTGAGATGTCCCAACTTCCCCCTAAGAGGGGTAGAAGGCTGCAGAGTCACCTGCAAGAAAACTCCACTTACCTGGCCCAAACCCAAAGGAGAAGGCACTGACAAAGACCATCAGGCAGAGCAGTGCAGTCCAGCACAGCAGTGCATGCCCTGGGGCGGGCAGAGGAGGCCCAGGGAAGGCAGAGCTCAGGGCCGGCTGAGGAGGGGTTGCTCCAGATCTGGGATGGGGCTTGGTTTTCTTAGCAGCGAACAAGATTGGCTCCCTTTGGTCTTCATTGGTTTTTGGCATGGGAGGAAGAGAGGAGCCTTGCAGCAGATGACGGTCTCCAGGGAAGCTTGTCTGCCCAGTGGCATTGGGCACAGCCAGGCAGCTTGGGCCTGAGTCCATGGGCACGGCAAAGCTGACGAGGCCTATACCGCTGACCGACAGGGCCATGAAGGCACAGCCAGCTAGCAACAGAGCCCTGCGGCCTGCGCGGTCCACCAGCCCCATGGCGATCAGGGTAGCTGCCACCTTCACTGCACCAAGCCCCACGGAGGCCAGCACGGCTGAAGATCCCCCATGGAAGCCAACGGACAGGAAGATGGTGGAGGCATAGGACAGCACATTGGGCTGCCCTGTTAGTTGCTGGAAGAGCACCAGCCCCAGGCCCACTGTGGTCCGGCCTCGCATGTTATCCCTTGTCCCGAAGAGGTCCAAAAAGGAGTACCGTGGCCTTCCCAGGCCCAGCCTGGGGGTCTCACCTCCCTGGAGTGGGATGAGGTCCTTGTGTGCTGCAGTCTCATCTGCATCAGCCGGGAGGAAAAGGAGGCTGAGGGACTGCAGGACAGCAGGTGCAGTGGCCCAGCCGAACATGTGCCTCCATCCCCAGGGGACACCAGCCAGTGCATAGTTGAGGGCATAGGAGAGCAGGATGCCCACGGTGATGCCTGCCTCATAGAGGGACACCAGCACTCCCCGCTGCCGTGGCCCCACCAGCTCTGACACGTAGATACAGCAGGCCATGGAGGAGAGGGAGATGGCGAAGCCAACCACAGAGCGGCCCAGGACCAGCCAGGCCAGGGAACCAGCCAGGCCCAGGCTCAGGCTGCCTGCCAGCAGCACCAAGTTGCTCCCAAGGATGGCTTGTTTCCTGCCATAGCAGTCAATGAGGAAGCCCCCGACCAGGGAGGCAAGGAGAGCCCCCAGGAGCAGGCTGCCGACCAGGAGCTCCTGCTCCAAGCAGCTTAGCCCAAAGTCAAGCTGCAGTGGCAGCAGGGCACCTGATATGACTGCCAGTTCATAACCAAAGGTCAGGCCACCCAGCAAAGACACAGAGGCACACAAGGTCAGGACAGGTGGGGGGCGGCCTAAAAAACAAAAGTGACAGGGACAGAGTTAGAATGGCTCCTTGCCATACTATCAATCCATTCAACCTTCCCTCCATCTGTCAATACCTCCATCCGTCCATCCATCCACTCCATCAATTTAACCATCCATCCATTCATCCTCTATCCATCCATCTACTCCATCTGTTCAACCACCCATTCAACTGTCCCTTGATCCATCCATCCATCTATTCAACCATCCATCCATCTACACCATCTGTTCAATCATCCATTCAGCCTTCCATCCATTCTTCCATCCACTCCATTTATTCAACCACCCATCCACCAACTATGCATACTCCACCCATTCATCTACTCCATCCATCCAAATATTTATCCATCTCTATGTCCATTTATCTGTCCCTTAATTCACCCAACCATCCATCAATTTATTGATCCAGCTATCTACAAATCCATCCATTCATCCACCCATCTCTGTATTTCATCCATTTCACTCATTCACACATCCATCCATCCATCCAAATTTATTTATCTGGCATCTATAACATGCCAGGAAGCGTTCTTAGGGCTGTAATACAGTAATGTTGTCCAGGATCTAACGTCCTAGAAGAAATAGGAAGATGATAATTATATAGTTTCAGGTGGTAAAGATATCATGAAAAATGAAGCAGGGAAAGAGAATTAAGACTGATGGAGTAGCACCATTTTAGGGCCTTTCTAAAGAGCAAAAATTTGGGTAGAGATCTGAGCGATGTGAGAACAAAAGTCCTAGGAAAGTCTGAGTTTCTTCTTTTAAAAGGTGATCTTGGCCGGGTGTGGTGGCTCATGCCTGTAATCTCAGCACTTTGGGAGGCCAAGGTGGGTGGTCAGGAGTTCGAGACCAGCCTGGCCAACATGGCGAAACCCATCTCTACTAAAAATACAAAAATTAGCTAGGCATGGTGGCAGACACTTGTAATCCCAGCTGCCAAAGAGGCTGAGGTGGGAGAATCGATTGAATCTGGGAGGCGGAGGTTGCAGCGAGCTGAGATCACACCATTGCACTCTAGCCTGGGCAACAGAGTGAGACTCCATCTCAAAAATAAATAAATAAATAAAACAAGAGGCGAACTTATTCACATTTATTGCAATGACTGATACGATTGAAATTGCTTCTGCCATTTACTTTTGTATCTTCTATTTACTGTGCTATCACGATATTTCTTTTTACCTCCATTTCTGCTTCTGGTGGGTCAATTATAGCTGGGTTTTTGTTTTATTCTTTTCTCCACTGATTTGAGTGTTACACTTTCTACGTTTTCCTTTTCTCTTAGAGCAGCACCAACAGCATTTTCTGCAATGAGAGAAATGTCTCTACCTGTGCCATCCAATATGATAGTCACTAACCACGTGCAGATAATGAGTCCTGGAAATGTGGCTAATGGGATGCAGGAACTAATTTTATTTTCTATTCTTTCTTTTGAGACAGTCTTACTCTGTTGCCCAGACTGGAGCACAGTGTTGTGATCTTGGCTCACTGCAAACTCCGCTTCCTGGGTTCAAGGGATTCTCCTGCCTCAGCCTCCTGAGTAGCTGGGACTATAAGCATGTGTCACTATACCCAGCATATTTTTATATTTT